TAATCGGTGGTCTAGGCGGCTGGCAGGCTAGTCGGCCGACTAGGCCGCCTAAGTGCCATCTCGGCCTCCTAGGCGCCGACAAAACCGCCTAATCGGCCAATTAGCTATTATTTCATTCTTTTTAAATAAGTTATTTCACTCAAAACGACATCGTTTTGAGTGAAATAACCCTAAATTGTTCAAACTCATCTTTTTAAAGTTAATATTTAATATTTTAGTATTAACTATTAAAGTATTAAATAGTTTATAATTATCAAGTTTTAAAAATTTTAAACAAAATTTTTAAAAATAAAATAAAAAAATACATAAACGCCGAGGTGCCCTAGACGCTAGGCTCCCCCGAATGCTCGAGGAGTGCCTAGCGATTTTTTCAATCAATCAATCATGTATATAAATATACAATTTTTTAATTTTTATTTTATTTTTATTTTTTACAATTGTGCTCCCAATTGAAAAAAAAAATTATATATATAAAATTATATATATATATCTCATATAATATATGTATATAAGTAATTTTTTTTATTTTTTTTTTACAACAATGCCTGCTGTATAGTATATGTTATATGTATATATGTTTTGTAATTGGGGCCCCGAAATTTTGGAGGCCCTGTGCAAGGTCTCTGGGCAAACATGCCCACGGCCCTGGTGTTCACCACGGTTCCATGGCATAACGATTGCCTCTCCTCTATATAAACTTGATTTCTTAAAAATAAAAATCACATGAAGATACATTGATGTAGATGCTTTGACAATACACTTCACCAGATCGAGTTTCTCGACCAAGTTGTGCTGAGCCAAACATGATTGGACCACACCAAATTATTTCATCATGGATCAACAAACAGATTTACTATTTATTTATATCCATATCCTAAACTACTGACCAAATGGTATTATTTTATATTTTGGAATATAGAATAAAATAATATTTTTATTATATTCATTTTAAAGTTCCAATTGTCAATATTTCAAAAAAAAAAAAGTTCCAATAGCCAAACAAACAATTGTTGTCTTTTTTCATTTTTCACATTATTTTTTCCTTTATGGTCGGCTGAATTTATTTATCTTTTTAAAAAATATATAATGTCTCATTATCCATTAATATTTGTATTAAAAAAAGAAGTGAGAGAATATTCCCAAAACAAGTAACGCCTTTCACCCAATTACAATAGCACACGTCATCGATTTAAAAAAAAATTCTCATTCAACGGCGACGAGAGAAGAGATCTACCTAACTCGCGAATCCCACGCGCCCCTTTAATCGCCCAAAGTTTACGTAGTCATGTTCCTTGAAATCCCCATCATACCCTCGCTTTCAAAACTTATTCCCTCTCCCATCCTCTTCTTATAATTGTCTCTCATCGTCTCTCTCACTCTCTCAGTATTCAGTTCTCTCTCTCTCTCTCTGACTCTCTCTCTGACTCTCTCTCTCTCCGCTGTGGCCGGAATATTCTTCCTCCGTGCTCCGCTCCTTAGTTTTATGCATACATATTTCAAAATTTGGTTCCTTAACGTTCGTTTCCATAAATAAGCTTCGATCTTTGCACTGATCTCTGTAGTTTTTGTTTGAATTTACTAAAAAATTGTTGTGATTTGAAGATCTGAAGCCTGAATTTGAGGAATTATTTCTGTAATCTGAAATTCGTTTGTGGAATTCACGTGATAAACGGAGATGTCGATGTCTTCTACGTATTGGTGTTACAGATGCGATAGGTTTGTGCGAGTGTGGGACCAGGATTCCGTGGCTTGCCCGGATTGTGACAGTGGGTTTATCGAGGAAATCGATACTCCGACCCGATCCTTGCTCTCGGAGTCTCGCCGGAGCCGTTTCGCGGCGTCGGCTGCGTTCGTGATGCAGAGCTCGGATCAGAACGCGGCGCCGGGCTCCGGCTCTAGTCCGGGCGTGAGGAGGAGCCGGAGGAATGGCGGTGACCGCTCCCCGTTTAACCCGGTTATTGTGCTCCGCGGCGCCGCCGAAGGAGGCGGCGGCGGAGGCGGAGGCGATGGTAGTGGAGCGGGATTTGAGTTGTACTATGACGACGGTGCCGGGTCGGGTTTGAGGCCGTTACCAGCGAGTATTTCGGAGTTTCTACTCGGGTCGGGTTTCGACAGGCTTCTGGATCAGTTGACCCAGATTGAAGCTAACGGGCTGGGGAGAATGGAGGATCCACCGGCTTCCAAAGCGGCGATCGAGTCAATGCCGACCATCGAGATTCTCGATTCCCACATCGAAACCGAACCCCATTGCGCGGTTTGTAAAGATGCCTTCGAGCTCGGAAACGAGGCCCGAGAAATGCCCTGCAAGCATTTATACCACTCCGATTGCATTCTCCCATGGCTGTCTTTGCGCAACTCCTGCCCCGTTTGCCGCCACCAACTCCCCACCGACGCCCCAAACTCCGGCGACTTGAACACCACCAACAGGCCTTCTTCAAACGAACAACAACAACAACAACCGTCCACTGATGACGAGACCGTCGGACTAACAATCTGGAGGTTACCCGGCGGCGGGTTCGCCGTGGGGCGGTTTTCCGGTGGGAGAAGAGAGCTTCCTGTAGTGTACACTGAAATGGATGGTGGGTTTAACAACAATGGAGCTCCAAGGAGGATTTCTCGGGGGCCTAGAGGTAATATATCCCGGCGAAATGGTGGCTTTAGAAGAGCATTGCTTAATGTGTTCTCCTGCTTAGGTGGTGTTGTTTCTTCAGGCTCTAGTTCTAGGATTATTAGCAGTAGCAGAAGCAGAAGAAGTTTACTGTCATCTGTCTTCCATGGAAGGCGCCGGAGCTCGAGTTTATGAGCTAATTGAGCTCAAATCAATAGGGAGATTGCAATGTAAATAACTCTGGGTATGTAATGATATCTCAATGCTGCATTCAATGGAACAATGGATACTGCTAAAACCATGGCAAAGAAAGAAGCTTTAGCTTAGCTTTAGAAGTGAAGAATCAAGAATGCAGTTGAGAAGGAAGAACCCAGGGTTAACAATGGCTCCTGGAATCAAGAAGGTACACAGCTCATGTACCACAGTGGCTTTGAAATCTAAGAGTTCCTGCTGTTTATTTTTATTTTTACATTATTATACCTAGGTTCTTTTCATTGGATTTAAGGGCATAGAAACCTTTAAATTGTATTCAGCTTATGGAGTTTACCTGAAATTGGATTTTGGGATTTGATGGTGGATGAATTATTATATTCATGTATAAATGAGTAAATGACATCCCACATTAGAAGGTCATCCTGCTGCTGCTTATAATGGTGGACCTTGTGGCTTGAAACATTCTCTTTTATCATGTAATTACATTGTTGTCAGAGGACGATCTTGACAATTGCAATTAATCCTTTCAATAAGATTTCAGTTCGTAATCAGAACATGCCACAGATGACATTATGTTTATGTTTTTTTTTTTTTTTTTTGGCCCACAAACGCAAAATTCCTTCGTCTCTAGGGCTCCCCATTGTGGCCCGACATAATAGTGGAGGTGCATGGTGCATATGATGCAAAACGACGTCGTTTTGACTAAAAATGTGCATCCCACTTAAAAAAAAAAGTTCAAGTTCGATTCTCGGCAATATAGTTATGAATTTATTGATATTTAGTTCATTTATTATGGATATTTAGTTCAATCATTGTGGATATTTAGTTCATTTATTGTAGATATTTACTTCATTCATTCACTGTGGATATGTAGTTATGAATTTCTGGATATATAGTTATGAATTTATTGATATTTAGTTCATTCATTGTGGATATTTAGTTCATTCATTGTGGATTTTTACTTCATTCATTCACTGTGGATATATAGTTATGAATTTATGGATATATAGTTATGAATTTATGGATATATAAAAATGCTATTGCCGGGAATTGAACCTGATTTCTTTTTTAAGTGGGACGCGTGTTTTTTAACCAAAACGACATCGTTTTTGCATCCGTATGCACCATGCATGGTGCATACGGATGCACAACATAATTTGTAGTGGAAGGACCCGTTGTTAATTGTTATACCCTAAATTGTCTATTTTTAGTTTTGGAATTGTGAACATCTAGAATATAAATTTTGTTTCTAAATTTTGAGAATTGTTGAATACGATATAAGATCATCACAAATTATGAATTTTTAAAAGGTAAATTGTAAACATTTAGTATGTGAATTGTGTATCCCAGATTCACCTTGCAAGGTGGATTCGTGTCCAAAAATAATTTGCCGTTGTTGGGGTCCGATTTTGTGTCTTTGTCCACAATTTACTACCCAAGAACCAATTGAGCTTGTCCGTGTAGGCTTTATGTTCTTTTCTTGGACAGGTTGGTGGGGAATCATCACAACCGTTGTATGTATGTTCATTCACTTAGCTTCATTGATTGAAATTCTGTGGCCCATATGATTATTACTATTATCTTGCTCTTCATACATGCATGTTTTCATGCCTGGGTTGATGAGGATATTTATTACCAGTGAATATTGATTGTGACAATGAAGTTTGAAATTGATTGTCGTGGAGACAGGAGCTACAGATCGAATTGTGGTGGATGGTTATTGTTAGTACTTTGTATCTAACTGGGTTTGGTTTCATTGTAGTCCATTTGTTTGACAGTTCCCAAGACAACCTAATCAGACTTCACCTGGACACAATTCCGCCCCAACTTTGCATATCTATGACCATGTTCGTGCCCAACTTCTACATGTTTATAACTACCACACAAATGATTGGGAATTTCTATGGCGCTAATCGGCAGCCGTGTCTTTTTATATCAGCTTCAATTATGTATATTGTTTACGTTGGTATTGGATACTGTCTTTTTGTATCAGGTTCAACCATGCGTATTGAGTTGGTATTGGATACATGAGAACTGAATGAATTGTATTGAACAAACTTGATTACAAAGGTACAGATCATAGGTATATATACAAGGAGAATCATAGGAGCCTGCTAGGATAGAGAGTCATAGGGAGACTGGGATAGGGAGTTATAAACTAACTCAAATACATAGAGTTCTAATACTCCTCATCAAGCGCAGGGTATAGACGTGACTTGTAGCTTGTCTCTAAGAAAAGAAAACCTTGAACCAGGTAGAGCCTTTGTAAATATATCAACAAGTTGATCTTTACTTGAGATAAAGTGAACTTGAATGTCTCCATTGGCAACTCTGTCTCTAACGAAGTGATAATCAATCTCCACATGTTTGGCACATGAAATATGAGATTTGTACTCATCTATGTAGCACCAAAATTATCACACCACAGCTTGGGAACAGAAATGCTATTCACGCAATAGAGATAGAATCCAAATTACTTCAGCACAAACATTTGCTAGAGCTTTATATTTAGCCTTCGTAGAAGATCTAGCAACAAATTTTTGTTTCTTACAATACCCAAGACACAAGATTGGATCCAAGAAATACAACATAGCCACTAGTTGACTTATGGTCCTCGGGACAACCAGCCCAATCAGAATCAGAAAAAGCAAGCAACTCCCTAGATTCTGACTTTCGTACACGTAAACCGTAAGTAATAGTGCCTTTAACATACATTAGCACATGCTTCAATTGTTCCCAATGCGAGACAGTATGAGCATGCATATGTTGACAGAGTTGGTTGACAGCAAAGGAAAAATCTGTACGAGTAATCGTGAGATACTGCAGTGCTCCAGCTAGAGTCCTATACTGTGTAACATCGTCATATAAAACTTCACTAAAAGAAGTGGGTTTCGAAACAGATATAGGAGTGGCTAAAGGTTTACAATCTGTCATACCAGCACGATTCAAAATGTCTGTCATGTATCGTTGCTGGGAAAGCAAGATTCCATTATCACATTTAACAGTCACAATTTCAATAAAGAAATCAAGTTCACCAAGATCCCTAATCTTGAATTCAGTAGAGAGTTTAGTCAATAGCTCATTGACTAGATTCGTACTACTCATTACAAGTATGTCATCAACATAGACCAAAGTATACACAAAAATAGAATCTTGGGAATAATAGAACAAAGACACATCTGTTTTCGAAGCATTAAAACCAACTGACAGCAGAAACGTATGTAGACGATTAAACCAAGCTCTAGGGGCCTGTTTCAACCCATATAAAGAATGCTTCATAAGACATACATGATTAGGAAACTTAATATCAATATAACCAGGCGGCTGCTTCATATAAACAGTTTCAGACAAGTCCATTCAAAAAAGGATTGTGAACTTCAAGCTGCCTAATAGTCCATCCATATGATATAGCTAAAGAGAGAAGTAACATGACAATAGTGGGTTTCACCACTGGGCTGAACGTGTCAAAGAAATCCTGTCCAGGTACTTGATTAAACCCTTTAGCTACTAACCTTACTTTGTGTCTTTCAATTGAACCATCTACTTTCCTTTTTGTGCGAAAGATCTACTTACACCCAATAATGTTCATGTCTAATTTATGTGGAACAAGGCACCATGTTTTATTCTGAAGAAGAGCATTGAACTCTTGATCCATTGCCTTACGTCATTCTAGATATTTAACCGTCTGAGTGTAGCATGTAGGTTCAGTAAGACTGTAACACCCCATTTTTCTTAAACCTTATTAACAATACTAAACTTAGAAAAGAAACTAATCAAGCTAAAAGATAGAATTAAAAGCTTAATAGTCAAACTCCAAGAGGTGTCACCACCACAATCACCACACACGGTGATTGCACAGGCAAGGAAAAGATCTAAACAAAGTCAATCTTAACTAACTTTAAACAAACTTGGGGAAATAAAATCCCGGTGTCCAACACCATCAAAACATCTGAACGGGTCTACAACCAAATCTCAAATATAAACATAACTGATAAGAGTTTAGACTACAACTAGCACTTTAAGCTAAGCTAGTCTAACTCGATCGCTCTCAAGAACTGGACCCACCTGAAAGGGGTTAACAAACAAGCAAGTATAAAAACAACCCGTTAGCACGAAGCTAAGTATAACGCCACTCAACCCTATAAAGTACTATAGAATATACTTTTGGAAAACATTTGTTTCACACACTTAGATCAAGTATTCTCAAGCACTTTAAACAACATTTAAACATACTCAACAGTATTTCTATATGCTCGCAACCTAATATCAAATAGGCATACTTCCTCAATCATTTAACTCATCATCAATCTCATGCTTTCTCATATATATCTTATCATGCGAAATACATTACTTAAGCTCAACGAATGGATTAAGAGATACTAAATACTCAACAAGAAATCTCATACTATCATATATCTCAATAAGCAATCTCATGCTATCGTATATCTCAACAAACAATCTCAAATTATCATATGTCTCAATAAGCAATTTCATGCTATCGTATATCTCAACAATCTCACAATAAAGTCATGCTTCTTCTCATACCTTCATGTAAAACATGCAACTCTTATAATCTTGCAATAAGATGAACATGATGCTTTAATATAAGTATGAATAGATATAGATATACACTCTTTCTTTGGAAACAAGGAACACTTGTTCGAAGGAGGTTTCTTAGAGTCACAATTTTTTTTTTTTTTTCTCTTCAGTCACGCAGACTTGTTTTTCTCTTCTTTCTCTAGAGTCACAATGACTCGTTTTTCTCTCTTTACTTTTTACTCGTGGGCGAGGTAGGAACTTCACCATAATGTGAATGGACCTATCTAGGCTCGGCATCTAGCCGGCCTAATACTCATCTCGCCCACAGAACCATTCTCTTGGTTCTTTTCTCAAACTCTGTGGAATCAGGTATCGTACTTGTCAGTGTGCACACCCCCTAACCGGGATTCCAAGCCCGACGGGTAGTATCCTATCTAGTAACTCAAAAATATCGATCTCGTTACTCCTCTCTAGTCAAACACCACTTCCTTCACCTCCTAAATATCTCAGCCAAACAACACAAACCAAGCCTAAGGAAGATTCTCAGAGATTGAAACAAAGGAATGAAACTAGAAGCAAAATAATGAATGGATGAGAAGAGCTTGGGGAAAAACTTACTGCAATTGTTTTTTCCTTCTAATAGAGAGCTCAAAGGTGAAGAGGCAAATGGAAAAGATCAAGAGAATGTAGAGGATAATATTCTATTTATATGGGTGCAAAACTCTAGGTTGATGCCCAATGATTGTTGAGGACAAAAGGATAAATTTGCTTGTTCTAAAATATCTCAGACAAAGCTTATAAAAATCTCATGGTTCACTCTGTATCATGGATCATGGTCTTAAAAATGATTTTTGGATAACTTGGGGTCAAAATAGAATTACTAAAAATAGTTTCTAGTTAAAACACTTGGTTCAGGTTTCACAGGTTCCTTTCTGGTTTCACTCAGATTGACTTTTTAGGTCAAAACTCGGTACGCAATGTACCCGAGAATTTAGGATTTTAGAAGTAGAATATTCTCGGTGCTGAATTTATTTAAAAACTCAATTTAAAATATTTAATTCAAACACCGTTTTCGAAATAATTTTTTTTGAAAGGGTGAAAATGGCTATTTGAAATTTATAAAATAGAATTTAGGAAAATTATTTTTGGGTTGTCACATTCTACCCTCCTTAAAAGAAGTTTCGTCCTCGAAACTTAGGGGGTGTATTCAATCATGACTTTCATAGAGTTTTAAAGATTTTTATGAACTTTAAAAGTTTGGAGGTATTCAATTCAAACTTTTAGAGAGTTTTTAAAAGTCATGTGGTATTCAATGAAGATTTTTAAAGAGTCTTTAAAAGTCGTGTGGTATTCGATTAAAACTTTTAAAGAGTCTTTAAAAGTCATGTGATATTCAAAAAGTTATGAACTTTTTGAGACTTTTTAATTTTAAGACTTTGGTAGACTTTTCCTTCTCAAATATAAATAGTTGAAATTTAACTATCAACCCCAAGATTTCAAAATTTTCTTTCTAACAACTTTGAATGTTTTCTCTCTCTATTTAAACTCTATTTTTTTCCCTATTTAAACTTTATAAACCTATCTAAATTTAATAAAATTATTTTTTTCTTCATTATCTTATATTTTCCTCATACCCAAACTCTACCAATTTTTCTCTCTCTCCTCAACTTTACAATCTTCCTCTAAAAATTCAAAATAATATTATTTTTACTTCATTATTGCTTGTTTATATTGTTTTTTATTTTTTCTATGAATTTTTATCCCTAACTTTTTCTATTTTTCCCTAAATACATGAACAAAGCAAATTTTTTCATCGTCAAATTTTAGTATATGTTTCATAATATTCATATAAATACTTATATATTTTGATTTTTATTATTTTTATGTTTATATTCGTAATATATATTTTTCCTTTTTTTTTAACAACAGGTTACTACGAATAGCGAACTACTATTCGCAACAACAATTTGGTGTTGCAAACAGTAGCACCTTGTTGTTGTTCGCAGTCTCAAATTGCTATTGCAAATAATAGTTCTTTGCGTGATTTCTAGCCATATATCAAATATAAATTTTTATATATATTATTAATATAAGATTTTTATTTTTTATTTTATGCAACTTGTAATTATGTTTTTAAATATTTTATTTGATCAATTCTTTTATTATAAATTTTATTGTTCAATATTGTTATGAATTTCTAATGAAACAGTTTTTTTTTTTTTTTGTTGATATTTATTAATAATATATATAAGTAATTAACATATAAGTGTTAGCATACTATGACTGAAAATAATAATGTTGAGAATATTGATGTGGGTGAATAACTATATAATAAGAAGAATTTTATGATATATTATAAATGTTTTGTAAGAAAATTATAAATGATAAAAATCATTGAAAGTTTATTAATCAAAATCATTGAAAGTTTGTAAGGATGTATTCAATTTAGAGTTTCAATGACTTTTGTAGACTTTTTAAAATAAAAAGTTGATAAAAGTCTATGAATGTTTTTTATATAGAATTTAATAGAGTCTTATAAAGTTTTAAAAAGTTTTGAATGACTCTATGAAAGTCAATCAAAGTTTATTAAAATCTATCATTTTAAAAGTCTTTAAAACTCTACAAAAGTCATGATTGAATACACCCCCCTTAGGTTAAACGGACAAGCTTTCTTAAAACAGGAGCTTTCTAAAAATGGTCATAAGAGTTGTAAGGTTTAGCTTATGAACTTTTCTTGGAATACTTGGAAAGACCGGAATCTCTGAGTATCAAGCAAGCACTCAAACAACTAAGGCACTAAGCTTGATCTAACTACTAGAACTCACTAACTCATAATTTTCTTCGTTACTCCTCTTATTCTTATCGTCCTTACCACTTCTTCGGTCTCGACACTTTGAGCTTCTACATTTTCTTTCATGAAATCTGAGAGTGTTTCATAAACACTTTTCTTCTTACTCAATATTAACTTGTTATTCTTCACGAGAGTAATATACTCGCAATCTTAATCTAGTACAGATCACAACTTCTCTTGTTTGGGGTATTAAGTACTTCCTTACTGACTGTTTACCGTTCTCACCCATCACAGATATGTTACATGTAAAAAAATCCAATTCTCATAATACTATATTTATGGCAATCATATCCTCAATATTAACCCTAATCATCATTATCTCATGGCCTCATCTTTCCTACCATACATGAATAGTCATCTCAAAGGTAGATCAATCCATTTGTCCACTTAGTGTGTTCCAACTCAATCTTAGTTCTCTTTTACTATAGGTTAACCGTAGTAACTCTCTTTCAATCAGAACCGGTGTATTCCTTTTATGATTTCATCACCATCTTCATGAACATAACTTAACCGATTAACAAGTACTTTATCCAAAGATTCTTGACAACACAGACTATCATTTACTTTATTTGTCAAGTGTTTCAGGATGGAGTGTCGGGACTCCAATAACAAAAGACCTTAACTATCCTTGCTACTTTTATCAATTTTTTGTTTAACTCTTAATAGCCTTATTCATCTCCTCTACTTTTCAAAAGAATTCACATGCGACGAATTACGGTCATACTCCTTCAATACGCTTTAAATAATTGCCCACTTTAGTTGACATTGCCAACCTACAAGTATCTTCTTTTCTCAAATCTTTTCCGAGATTTCTTATGTTTCAATACACTCCGAGTTTTGATTTGTTCTTCTTACTGATTTTCATTGTTTTCTTTCATACGAAACTCTTGGCAATACTTTCTTTCCTTCCTTAACCAACGATACACCCCTTCAAAATCCTTCTACACAAAGTCTCATTCTTATTCAA